TGGTAATAGGATGGTTTTTGTATTTAAAAAAAAACAAAAAAACTTTATTAGGAAACAATGTGTTTTTTCCAGGACCCATCAGCTCCAAGTCAAGTTGTTGTCCTTCAATTTTAGTTGTGGAAGGCGCAGCTCAGCTCCAAGTCCAGTCGCCGTTTTCAATCTAGTTGCGGGCAGGGGGGAGCGCAGCCCTCCATTCCATGCGGGAGTTGAACTGGCACCCTTGTTGTTAAGAGCATGTGCTCTAACCAACTGAGCCATCCGGCTGCACATCAGCAGCTCAGCTCAAGTCGTTGTCTTCAATCTAATTGCAGAGGGCGCAGCTCACTGGCCCATGTGGGAATTGAACTGGAAACCTGTTGCTCAGAGCACACGTTCTAACCAACGGAGCCATCCGGCCGCCCCGGTTTTTATATTTTTTTAAAGAACATCAAATTGTTGGTGTCCCCCTCACCCCGGAGACTGTTCTGATCATGGCATGTGTGTTTCTGTTTGTTTTCTTTGGCTTCTATCAGCCTGTGTGGCTTCCCCTGGCTTTTGGTTTGCCTGCTGTCTTAGTTGGTTCTCCCAGAAACACAGCCTGGGCCATGGCTTTGCAAGCAAGGAGTCTATTTGGGAGGTGATCCAGGGATACACAGGTAGGGGAGAGGGAGTGCAGTTCCAAGGTCCTCAAGACCACTGCCAGGTTCAATAATTTGCTAGAAGGACTCACAAGAGCTCAGAAAATCCATTATAGTCGTTGGTTATGGTTTATTACAACAAAAGGATGCTGAGCTACACCAGCAAAGGGAAGAAGCCCAAAGTGTGGGGTCCAGAAGAGACCAGGCTCGAGTGTCCAGGAAAGACTCACAGACAGCGCTTAATTCTCCCAGCAGTGGTGGTGACATGCATGGCCGACCAGGGACGCTCACCTGAGTCTCAGTATCCAGAGTTTTCGCTGGGAGTTGGTTATGCAGACATGGCTGACCGCCCACATGGTAGCCTGACTCCAGCCTCTCCAGAGGGCAGGCTGATATCATGTGACCCAGGCTCCACCACAGATCACATTGTAGACTATCCTGTGTGGCCCAAGGCCGAGGTAAACAAAGACACTCCTATCAGAGAGGGCATTCCAAGGTTTGGAGTCACCTCCTAGGAGCTGAGGCCAGAGGCCAGACCTATGGGCACAGTTCATTCTTTACTGTACAGGAAGTGAGGCCAGGAAGGGAAGGAGGCANAACTAGACTGAAGAACAAAATGACAGCAACTTGTCTGTTCCCCTTCCCCCAATTCCCCAGCGCTGTTCCCATCCCCCCAATTCCCCAATAAAAAATCTTAAAAAAAAAAACAACAAAAAACAACAACAACAACAAAAACATTTCTATAGATACGGAATTAGTACTGCCCATGTGTAATGAGCATCCTATTTTTCCCTCACAAATTTGAGCTAAAAAGTGCGCATTAGACATGGCAAAATACAGTAATTTGTGGGAACGGTAGGCCAGTGAATTCAATACCTTGGAAGAAAAGAAAAAATTCCTTGAAAAGCACATCTTACCAAAACTGACACAAGATGGAAACAGAAAAGCTGACTAGCCCCGTATCTATTAAAGAAACCAAATTTGTAATCAAAAGTCTTTGCACAAAGAAAATTCCAGGCCCAGACAATTTCACTGGTGAATTCAATGTAACATGTAAAGAAGAAACAACACTGATCTTAACACAAACTCCTTCAGAAAATCATTAGTGGGAGAGAGAATTTTGAGCATGGCTTCCACTCAGACAGGCCTGGGTTCCAATTCAAGCTCTATTTGGTTTCATCCATTCAGAGTCATATATTTTTTTTAAAGGACTTTATTGGGGAACAATGTGTTTTTTCCAGGACCCATCAGCTCCAAGTCAAGTAGTTGTTTCAATCTAGTTGTGGAGGGTGCAGCTCCATGGCCCATGCGGGGATCGAACCAGCAACCTTGGTGTTATGAGCACTGCGCTCTAACCACCTGAGCTAACTGGCCACCCCCAGAGTCATGTTGTGAGTACCTGCTACGCGTATGTGTCAGACACTGTTCTAGCCCCTGAAGTTACATTAGTGAACAAAGTGGGTAAAACTTACAGGTCTCGCCGAGTTATGCAAGGTCAGGTGGGTCATTTAAGTGTCCTGCGCCTCAGTTTCCTCACCTGTGAAGTGGGGACAGCAGTGACCTCTTTCCTGAGAGTTGTCAGGACTCACAGTGGCAGTGAGGGGAGGGGTGGAGGCAGACAGCCAGCAGCGGGCACTTCCCCAGCGGCCACTGATGCTTGTCTCTCTGTCGTGTGTGTACGTGTGTGTTCCATGGCCTGCCCTCTCAGGCTTTAAAATGTGTGTCAGCAGCAGCAGCAGCCATGATGAGGCGCCCGTCCTGAGTGACAAGCAGCTGGATGTGCCCAACATCATCATCACCCCCCCGACCCCCACGGGCATGATGCTGCCAAGGGACTCCCGGCGGACAGGTGAGGCTACCCTGCCCCGCTGCCAAGCCAGGTCAGATCTGGGGGTGGGGCGAGTCCGGCTGGGGACAGCTCCTTTCTATGCCATGGGTCTGAGCTCATGTTCCCACCTCCCCTGGGTTTATTAAAAATTTACTCTCGGATATTACTCTCCACCATGGGCCCCTCGCCGTGGCACCAGCCTCAGCAAGATGTGGCATGTTAAGTAATTAGCTAGACAGCCCCTGCCGGCAGCCGGGCGAGTGATGGATGGGGCTGGGTGGGTTCGCCAAGGTAATTGATGGATGTGCCTTCCCCTGCCCGCCAGGCGACTGGTGCTCTATCTTGCTGTCCGCAGCAGTGCAGCTGGACAGGACAGGCATGGAAACACAGCCACGCCGGGCTGGGGCTGATCTCTGGGCCCTCTGGATGCGGCTCGCATCCGAGAGGGGGGAGAAGATGGAACTGTTCACAGAGAGAGGGCGAGAGAGGAAGGCTACAACTGATGCTCCCACATGCCCCTCTGTAGATGCCGCCGGAGCTGTTGGGACAAATTGTTCATTGATTCACTAAACAGATTCATTGAACCAGATCCGTGCTAGGTTCTGAGGCTGCTATTGTGAAGAAGAAGAAGAAGAAAGTGATGATTCTGTGGCAGTAATGGAGTCCTCACAGTAACTCTGAGTTAGGTCCAGTTTTCATCCCCATTTTATAGATGGGTAAACTGAGGTTTAGAGAGGTTGAGACACTCACCGTACAGCTGGTAAGTGGCAGAGTTGGGATTCCGACCCGGGCTTTGTGACCTGGAGCTTATCCTGTGGGATCCCTAATCTAGGCACCCTCCCAGTGGCTAGCATCAGTCAGCCAACTAGCCATGCAGACATGAGTCCTGTGTGGCTTCGTGTTGGGGACACGGGCCAGCAAGGCTGATGTGGAGCTTATGGAAGTCTGGTGGGGGTGGGGGCAGTTAGGCAGACTTTCCCAAGAGGTGCTGAATTTGGATCTCAGCTTGCTCACCAGGGCACGTGACCTGGAGGAGAACGATATTAGATTATGGGCCAGGCCTGCCTGTGCAGTTACTGGGGCTGGACATGCTCAGGAAGGATTGTAATCGGTCACATCCCTATTTCACCTTCCCAAGTGCCAGGCACTGGACTAAATGCTTTTTTTTTTTTGGAAATTTTATTGGGTAACAGTGTGTTTTTTCAGGACCCATCAGCTCCAAGTCAAGTAGTTGTTTCCATCTAGTGTGGAGGGTGCAGCTCAGTGGCCCATGTGGGGATCGAACCGGCAGCCTTGGT